TGCGCGCTTCAAAAACTGGTGCAGAACGACTTTGCCAAACCGCACCAAATGCAGCCGCACTGCCACGCCCCACCGGTCCGCAATGATGAGGACTGTACCTTCTAGAGTCAAGAGTGGACAGGATTGGGGCTGGGAGTAGCGATATTCGAGTGTCGTCTCTGTACTCCGCCCGCACTACCGTATGGTCAATTACATGCCCAACAATGGCCAAACGCGCTACTTGTCTGCGTTTTCTCACTTCTTACCGTTCTTCACCGTTTCGCTCGTGTTTCGCTAGGAGATCTTGCTGTCGCACGCTTCACATGGGGATAGCGTGGGTGGAGTATGGCTATAGTACCCTTGTATCACTACTCTCCAACTCTGGTCCAACACATTTGTCCGGAGGAAGTGACACCTACTGCAACTGTTGACACATGAAAAGGATCGATCGTTTTCGGAAGTGAGTGTACAGTTTATCGTTCAGTAACAGTTCACACTTTAAGCGCGCTTAGACTGGTTGCTCGATAAGATTTCCCGACTAAAGTGAAAGTTGAATTCATATTAGTATTGAGACGAGAAAAAAAACGAACGGCAGGTAAGTTCTCGTAGTAAGACATGTTGAGCGGATGATCATTTTGTGCAAGGTAAGTTCTGTTGAATAAAAGCTCGGAAACACATGCAATTGCTCCGTAATCAAACGATGGCATCATCTGAAAGATCACATTGTCTCAGAAAAACAGTTCCTAACATCATATCTAGTGCTTTGAATTCATTAACCTCTCGTTCCGTTGACCGCTCTTCCCCCTTTATGACCGTACCGATTTTTTTAGAATTGCGAGGATGGGTAACACAAATTTCTGTGATGTCGGCTTTCCTGCTGAGTTTGCTATGATGTAGCTGGCCGCGAAGGAATGGAAAAGCTGGGAGCTGGGTTGTCATGGCCGAAATGATCTGAAATTCGTCCTCGCCTCTTCGGACGGGGGGGGGAGAGTGACCGTCGAATGGAACAGCTAGGCATTAGAAAATTTGGAGAGCTTCTTCACCTTATTTACAAGTATTTGGTGATATTCGGAGATGGAAGGAAGATCTTCAATGCCCAGTACACAGACATGGTGCCGTAGGAATCCAGCCTTGCATTGCTCTTTCTTGTCTCTCCATTGAACCATCCTTAAAAAACATTTCACTATAACTACCAGTCTAGTGATAAAGCTAACCATAGATGAAATATAAGGCTTTGCTGCGGTGGTGGCCCAACCGATAAGAAATAGAGGTTTCCACAGTGAAAAAGACGAGCTAGGGGGAAAGAGACAATATCTCTGGATTGTATATTGTTAGCAGCCCACACGGACTGACTCCTGCTCTTAACCTTTGAACATATCACACGAGATGACCTACAGCCAGATTCTAAGTCTACTCACCTTGTGATACCGTCATAGGAAGAGCCATTCTTGAAACACTGCTTTGGGTATCGTCCGGGCATTTTCCACTCGTCTGCAATTTGTAGAGTGCTCATCAGCATTTCGTCTACCGAATTCTCCTGAACGAATCAATCGTAACCATCTTAATGCACTGCTGTCCCAACTTGAAGTACGGTACGCGATGGTATGATGACGGATATGGCACTCAAATATGAACAGCGACACGCCTGTGAAGAAAACAGTAGCAAGAAACGTCAAAAAACTTCATTCGACACCCCACTGCTTTCCTAACATCGTAAGGGTTTACAGTGCTCATGGTCAGACCCATTTTCCAATCTGATGGCTCCATGGCTAACAGATGGAAGGCACGCTACACGTACTTAGTGTTCTGACGCTTTCTTTAGCCAAGGCAGTCCTTTCCACAGGCATGTAATTGGATGGTACTACTTCCGTTGCTGCTGCAATATATGTGAGCCAGAGAACCACTCGGCTCGCAACGCTCAACGTACGCTCCAGCAAGGTTGGCTGACTAGGACGTACCAGCATCTGTCGAAGGCCGTACCGGTTCCCCACCGAAACACGGGATCAGGACCGTGGGATAGGCTAATTCCTACGTACTCCGCCTAAAATGCAAGGTTACGTCGCAGACACGCTGCGCGCCGCTACCATACCAGATTCCATCTACACTGAGCGGCCGTCCGCGCGGTGCTCACTTGGCCAGGTTGACCAAGCCGTTGTAGGTTTGCTTCTATTCGAATACGATCAAACGCAATACTCTTAATGCAGGGTGGAAAATTTGAAGCGCTGTTGAATGCAGCAATTGCTAAATCAAGTGTCGACGAGGGCAGAAGTGAAGAGCAACTGTACTGCTTTTGCAGTACCCTGCAGTCACCCTCGTGCATTCTCACCAAATATGAGACTAGAAACAGCCCAAGCGTCCTACTCGTTAACTTGAGGGCTTTTTATGGCTTTAGAGCCGGAGTCGCACCGGGGAAAAATCACACGGGTTTTTGAATAATTACGGCTGACTTACATTTCCCATTTACTTTTTATTTACATTTACAATAGTTTCAATTTGCTCTTCGATTATAGCTTTCGTCATCAAACCGATTCAGACTTCGCAGCATGGAGCACGCCTCAGTTGTCATCCGTATCAGGAGTTTGAGGGTTTAATCGTATTCGAAAGTGCAAACTACAAGGCTTAGCAAAGTGCCAAGAGCGCCGCATACACGCTGACGTTCCGTCAGCATGGATGGGGTTGGGATATGGTAGCGGCGTAGCGGCATGCGGCGTACCTGTGCCACAAGTTGCATTTAAAGGCAGTTGGCACGATAAATCGCTATACAGGTGTAGGATTTGTACAACTGGCTTAACAGAATTCCGTGACCTCGGACAGGCGCTGCGTGAAGCCTTTTCCAAGGAGGGTACCTCTATAACGCCTGAGCAACAACTTTACGTCCCAAACGCCTTCCTTGCCCGCCCGCCCACAAACGGACGACCGTTTCTGACGCTCGTATTCATTCATTTGCTGAGCAAATTATGAAGCAAAGGGATTGGTATGAAGCGGCGTGATGCTGCATGCATACATGGGTACACATATGCAGCCGTATCTTCGGTAGCGGTGATTGGCAAGATGCCTACGGGAAACTCGTCCGAAATCGATTTACAAGTCACTGAGAACGGAGGCTTTTTCTTCGCCGGATTTTGACCGTTTCACTCCGTTCTTTCGCCATTTCCCCACTATACAGCGCCCTACTAGCATTTTAGGCTAAGTAGGAAACCATCGTGCCAACTGCCTTTAAGGTGGAGAATCACTCTTTCCCACGGCTCATCCCAGCGCATGTTCGGACGGGGAATCGCTAGCCTTCGAGAGCCGGGACTCGAAGAGGTGCCAAGAACACACTTTGCAGCTGAGCGTGCGTGTCTTTGAAGGCTTCGTAGTGGTGCAGTTGCTCCACAATTGAATCCCCCTTTTTGGGAGGCGCTAAGTAGAAACAGTTGTACCAACAAGTGAAAGCTCGTCCAATCACGCCCGTTCTTCGCCTTTCGCACGCAGCGCCGTTCAGCGTTCTCTACATGGAACATTTCGGACGGATTTTTCTGCTCTCTCTCTCACTTCACTCTTGTGTTGCTATCCATGTCGTCATTAGTATCTGAGCCTCACAGGTCACCATTTTCAAACACGGCGTGTGCCTTAGACAGCCTACGGCACTTACATGATTCAAGGCAGTTTCACTTACAGTGTTTGGGAACTGATTGGTAGCTAGTCTCTTTGTGCTTCTCTTCAAACTAG